CTGCGCATTGCACGCGCGAGCTGGTAAATTGGTGCATAAATCCAGCACTGTCAGTGGGTTGTCAAGGGGGGGTGGAAAAGGAGCTATGCATTGAAGGCAATAGATTGGATGCACCAGCGCCAATGAGGGCGCGACTGGGCCATATCTGACAGTGTTTCTAACCATTGCTATGGCCCGTCTTGGGGTCCCCATCCAGGAAGACGGCAGTGACCAGCGCAGCTGAGTTTGCTGGTAATGGCTTTCATACTTCGCTGCCAAGTCATTGTTTGACCGCCTCTGGCTCTCTTCCACCCTTCACGTGGTTGTGCGAAAAGAGCCCTTCGAGGCTTATTGACACATGCATTTAAGCTTCAGAGATATTAACTACCGATTTCAATGCTCAACCTTTTTTCCACCTCTCCAAATCATCAGCGAACGAAGCTATGGCAGCCATGATCACCGTAAGATCAGTATGCGTTTTTTTGCAACTCACGACGACGATGATGACGATAGGCGCAAGAAAGGGTTTATTCACTAGTGATTAAATAGTATGACTCAAATGACTACAAAATTGGACCTCTTTCACCTGAGGGGGTCGCTTAATTAATCCCCCACTGTAGTGTGCATCCGGATGGTACTTGGTAAACAGTTTAGAATGGGGAAGCTTCGATAATGGCAAGCCTGATCAGCTCAACTCACACGTAATATTCTCGGCATTTCCTTCCTGGCCTTGCGTGCTGTTCGCCAACTGAGCATCAGAAGGTGCGTCGGTAAGTTGGGAATATATATCATTTGTACAGTACTTTATTGAATACGACTCTCTCTTGGAAAGCCAGTCAAGTAATCCCTTGTAGGATAGGATCTTCTGGGGTTCATGGAATGTATTTCTGATCACAAAAATGTCCAACTTCAGTTGGTCCGACAGGACTGGTGAAAGTGTCTCGGTTTTATTCACTGGATTTGGAGTCCTGGCAACGGAGATACATCCAGACGGTCTTTCGATGGGCTCCCTTGCATCGTTCCCGACACCCGATAAGGTTATATTCAAAGCCATCCACAAAACTTGTTGTAGCCACTCCGCTTCGACATAGTACGTTGTGCTGTTGGATTGGGAATCGGCGCCCCCCGGCCGTTCCCACCCCAACCAAAG